TACGGGGGTTGAAAACTCTCTCGTTTTGCAGTGTCTAATGGGCCGTACGCGGTGCGCTAATGAGCAACTCTCATAGGAATTAATGAGGCCCCGCCTCCCACGCTGTATCCAGTTCTTATTATACATCCATGGGTATGAGGTATGGCTAGAATGGGTGATCTGTTTGGTATTTTGAGCAAAACACTTCATAGACATGTTTTTTATATATTTGTATATATCTGAGACCTATGCTATTGCCTAAAAATAGCATGATAGGTGACCTTTAAATAATGTGTTGAGTTCATGACTTTAGGAAAATGTGATGATTGTGCTAATTCATTTTGTGTGAAAGCAATGAAAGATGATTCACACATTGACTTCTGTTTCACTGTCTGTTTGAAGACTTTGACCAATATAATTAAAAACAGTTGAAATAATTCCTCTTTCAGAAACAAACAGAGTCTGTGATGTGTCAGGCCTCATTAGATAAAATATTCCAACAGCAATGTGTTGCTTTCTGGCCTCCATTATCTCCAAGGCTTGAGACTGGATTACTTCCAACAAGCTTCTAATTATAGGCTTTCAGATGATGACAAATACGATGCATGATGAAGTTGTTTCTTAAAGCTACTACGCGTCTTAATAGAGCCTTTTAAACACTAAGATTTCAGCTCGCTCTCTTAAATGGTGTGGTGACAGAGTGTAGAATCAAATTGCAGTGGATGTAACATCTGTAATGGAGATGGTTATCTTTTTACAGCACACTCAATCTTCCAGGATGCCAAAATCCTGTCGTACTCTTTTGAAGATTTGCTTTTTATTGTCGCTTTATATTGTATTTAACATTCCAGCAGAACACTGACATGTGGTTACAAATCAGTCTGAAGCTGCTTTGGTGTTTCACTGAAAACACAGAAGAATGAAGAGTTTCAGTAAAATCAACAACAACGCTCCGTGTTAAAACCTAATGGCTGCCATAACTCAACACCTAGCACTTCCCTATGGACCGTGTATCTGTTTGTACGTGCGTGCAAGCGTGTGAGTGTATGTGATTGTGCATGCGTGCGTGTGATTGTGCGTGAGTGTGTGTCTGTGTGTGAGAAACATTGATTCCTCTGTTCTCATATGATTTAGATAGTGTTTGTTTTAAATGAGTCCATTTAATGGCCGCTATGTTTACAAGTCCTGCAGGATGCTTCAGCTGTGGAGGGATGCCAATAGTAAAATAAAACAAATACAGAGACAATTCATCTGTAAAAAATACAATACATACAAACAGTGGCGGTTCTAGACCGATTTGACTGGGGGGGCATAAGAAAACAATGCAATACAGTTATTGGTATTTGTTTCAGTACACTTATTTATTTCAGATACATCTTATAGTTATTACTGTTAGCTTCAGCTTAAGTTATAGTAACATTTTTGCACTAACACCATATCATATTTATATAAAAATAAAGGCAATGAACAGTTACATCTCTACTTTACATCTACAATTACACGGATACAATAGTTTAATTCACCTTCAATTATCGTGGTAGTCTCTCGAAACGTAGGTTTCAATCAGTCTTTCTTGGATGCAACAGCCTCTGAAGTGTTTGTTTTTCGCGCGCTTAGCCGGACAGTGAAAGTCAGTGCACCTATTCCGTCATTCAATAAATCGTGTAATAAATCATACATTTTTCATATTTTTTCACTTTTCATTTTTTAGGGGGGGCCACAGGGGGGCTCAGAGGGCAGTGTTAGGGGGGCACTGCCCCCCCCCCCTGCCCCCCTAGAACCGCCCCTGCTGAGACCTATAATATATTGATGAACAACAGTATAATAGGGGTTGTTCATCAATATATTATAGGTCTCAGCAGGGGCGGTTCTAGGGGGGCAGGGGGGGGGGGCAGTGCCCCCCTAACACTGCCCTCTGNAATTTTCCCCTTTTTAGAAGTGTAGTTATGGTCATTTGTTCTGGAAATGTCATTTTCGAGACCTGAAAAACAGGTTTGGGGTTTAACAGGTTAACGTCTACATGCTACCGCTGGCTCAGATAATGAAAAACAACAAAATAAGTTACAATAGTTATGCGGAAGACACACACATTTACATAACCATTTCACCAGGAGACTATGCTCCAATTCAAACACTGAGTAAGTGCATTGAACAAATCAATGACTGGATTTGTCAGAACTTTCTCCAATTAAACAAAGACAAAACTGAGGTAAGGGTTTTTGGAGCCAAGGCAGTCACATTAAAACAATGACTAAATCAGCCTACTATCACCTAAAGAACATATCTAGGATTAAAAGACTAATGTCACAGCAGGGTTTGGAAAAACGTGTCCATGCTTTTATCTTCAGTAGACTGGACTACTGTAATGGTGTGTTTACAGGTCTCACTAAAAAATCTATTAGAAAGCTGCAGCTGATTCAGAACGCCGCTGCTCGAGTCCTCACTAACACTAAGAAAGTGGATCACATCACTCCTGTTCTGAAGTCTTTACACTCGCTTCCTGTGTGTCAAAGAATAGATTTCAAAATACTGCTGCTGGTTTATAAAGCACTGAATGGTTTAAGCCCAAAATACATTTCTGACCTCCTGCTAAATTATGAACCATCCAGAACTCTCAGGGACTGGTCAGCTTTCTGTCCCCAGAGTCAGAACTAAACATGGTAAAGCAGCGTTCAGTTATTATGCTCCAAATATCTGGAACAAACTCCCAGAAACCTGCAGGTCCGCTGCAACTCTTACTACTTTTAAATCCGGGTTGAAGACTTTTATTTTTGTCGCTGCTTTTAATTCAAACTGAGCGGTTGTGTTTCTTTTTTGGTTAATGAACATTTGGGGCTAGTAACCCCAGGGAATCAGTGTCTGGGGACTCTGTCCTGGCTGGTTTTCTCTGTGTATGCTGCTCGGGACGTATGTGCCATACAAGCGTACACAGCTCATGTTCGGAGAAACCTTAAAGAAAGGCATCAGTAAAGTGGAACTTCTGTGTGAACTATTCATATCTTCATTCATAACTGTACTGTAACTTTTTATTCATGAATTTTTCATAAAGCTTCTTTTATTATCTTTTCTTTTTAATGACTGTTTTTAAATGCCTTTGTCTGAATGTCTTTCATTTTTGTAAAGCACCTTGAATTGCCTTGTGTTGAAAGGTGCTATATAAATAAACTTGCCTTGCCTTGATTTATAAAATAAAATAATGTTGGAAGATGAAAGATAACTTTCCAAGGATGGGTTACATGGTAACGTGACCAGAGTGAATGCAAAGCAGCATATTAATAACATGAATCCCAATCAATGTTAAATGGAGGAGGCTGAGAAAAAACTATTCTTTTTAATTGAAGACATAGTTTCAAAGTCACTTCCCAACTTAAACTGTAAACATGTATTTTCCAAACATGTATTTTCCATTTATTCTCGAGAAAGCTTTTTGTGAGGATTTGAGCATAACTTTGGAAGACCTTGACGTTCACCTCTGTTTCTCGGTTCTAGCAGCAGGTGTGAACCCCCTCCAGCTGCAGAACTTCGCCACATTAGCGGCTGCTGCGGCCGCAGCGCAGAGCTCTGGCAGCCCAAATTCCAGCAACGCTATGTCTGCAAACAGCGCAGCCCTGGGAGCCCTGGCTAGTCCAGGTAATTAAATACTGGCATGAAGTGTAGAATTTGCATGAAATGCAGTAGTGGAAGAAATACAAGTGTCTTTCACTTAAGTCATAGAAGCAACACTTTACTGTGATGAAAATATTCCACAAGTAAGAGCCCTGCATTCAGAATCTTACTTGTGTAGAAGTAATTTTAGTTCATTTATGGCGCATTTCCACTGCAGGGCCTCGCACGGCTTAATACGGTATAGTTAGGCCTTGGTAGGCCAGGCTTACTTTATGCTGCGTTTCCATTACAGTTTAGTAGCTGGGGCAGTAACTATAGTAACGCAGTGTAGGCGGAGCCGTGATTCATCTTCAATGCGAACCACAAAACCAAACATCAGCCGTTAGCACTCAGAGCTCACAGTTCCTCATATCTGTTCAGAAACGAGACAAAAGTTAAACAAGTACAAACCACATACTGTCTGTGTCATGGCGAATACATTCGCTGGTCTATTTATGTCTGTATAGGCCGTTGTTGTGTGTGTGGACGGTCGGAGCATATACAACGTTAGCTTAGCCGATCTCCGTTCAGAAAACACACATTTTAAAAGGTTTTTCGCCTGCCGTCTGTCTGCAGACTTGTCAAAGCATTAATTCATGGTTTTTACTAACCGGTATCAGCATGTTGCTACTTCGGCATCATTTTGAAACGTGTATTACAATTTTAAATCACTGTAAAATATGTTCATTGTGTTGTAGTTGTAGCCCCTCAAGTCACTAGTTTAGCATATTCAGCCCGGTTGGCCCGGAACTACCCCTAGTGGAAACGCGACAAAAACGGGCCAGGTTTGGCACGACATGCTTAAACCGTGCTACGCGCTGCAGTGGAAATGCGCCATTAGAGTAGTTTATTGGAGTGTTTAGCTTGCTATTTTTGGCCTTGTTGGCTGGTTTCCCCCGTGTCCGTTACCCTAGTTTATCTTCACGCAAAACATTTATATCTAAGTGTAAATAAAAATCCCTTCCCGACTGAGATGAGTGTACACGTTCACAGACAGCCCCCCTGCTGTGGCAGTATCAACAACTGCTCTACAACCCTCCCTCCTCCCCATTTCCCTAACGGCCCCTCAGCCATTCCTCATGTGTTTTATGGGAGTTAATCAGCCCCATATAACATTTTATGGGAGCCCCATTTCCCTTTTAATCTGTGTAAATATACATTGGCTCCATCTGTCTGAGTTTGGCATATTGCTGCTGCGGTAATCACCTCTCCTCGTTAAGAGACATTTGAACGACCCCCTTGCTGCTGTGTCATCCTCTCATAACCAAGTCATATGAGGTGTTCTGAGCGTGAGCTAATCACCCTTGTGGTAACCCATATGTCCTTTTATCGTGTTTTTCAGTTGGATCATCTGCATCCAGCGCCGGGGCTGCCATGAACACTTTGGCCTCTCTGGGCTCCCTGCAGGGTCTCACTGGGACCTCAATGGGCCTCAACCTCAACGCTCTCTCCAACAGCGTCAGTGGTAAGAAGGACCTTTTTAATCGCAGCTAGCTTCTTTTTTTTTTAGCTTTTTTAACATTAGTTGTTTTGTTTTTTATATGGAGCCAAAAAAAAAAAACGCTCCTGGGCTGTTCAGTTTTATTGACTAGTTGTCCACTTTTTAATGAATTGTCAGAAAGAAAGACAGACTTATTTATTCACTACAATGTAATAGTAATAGCCCTAAATGCTGAACTGTTGCTCTGTATCTGTCGCATGTTGTACATAAACCCACTGGCCACATTATTAGGTTCCTTTGTAAGAACCTAATTTAATCCAATAAAAGGCCTCAGCCATAAATTCTACTGTTGCCAGTATACCTCAGTAATCAAGAGAAAGTGATTTAATGCCTCTTGGAAGGTTTCATAACAAAACTGGCCATTATAAACTTTGTAAAGAATGACTGAGGGAGAGCACTACTGACCTGCATTAGATAAAGGTGACCCTAATAAAGTTGTTATAGTGGTGTAACTTGACAAGCAAAGTATGTAAAAGTTGTTTTTTCTGCCCCCTGGTGGCCAGAAAAGCCGAATTCCCTCCTAATGATTGTCAATCTGTGTTTTCAGTGCGTGATCCGTTCGCTTCTCTCGGTTTGACAGGTATGGGGGGCATGAATGGCCTGGCAGCCTCAATGGCCAACGGATCAGCCGCCAGCTCCATGGACGCCCTGACCCAGGCCTACTCAGGGATGCAGCAGTACACGGCCTCCCTGCCCTCCCTCTACGGACAGTCCCTCCTGCAGCAGCAGAACATTGCTGCAGGGGGTCAGAAGGAAGGTGAGCATTATCACAACGCACTGCTGCAGGGGTTATGTGTTTTCATAGACCAACCCTGGTTCATTCTACAATCGCCAATGTGTGTGATTTTGCCTTCAGATTATTGCAGGAAAATAAATCTTTGATTAGATGTTTTTGTTCAGCATAACTATCTTAACAAATAAACACCAATTTAAGGAGAGCTAATGCAACTGGCAGGAATAGAAAGACAATTTTACTCCATAAATGACTTTCATGCTCTCCCACAGCTTCAACACCACTAAGGCAAAAGTGGACTAGCCCCTTGTTAGTAAACTCCATTTAAGAGACACGTAAAAGCTACATAAAAATGGCAAGTGGGATATACTGAGTTTTTTGGAAATTATTCTTAAAGCACTTTTTGTTGCGGTCAGTTTTCTCATCAATATATTAACGTATTTTTAAAAGAAAATCTGTTTTATTTATAGAAGATTTACTTATGGATTATTTGAGTGTGTGTGTATCTTGATGCCTCTTGATCCTATCTAATTGGAATGCCTGTTTTTTCTTTCTCTTTTTACCAAATGGAGTAGGGCCAGAGGGCGCTAACCTGTTCATCTACCACCTGCCCCAGGAGTTTGGTGATCAGGATCTTCTGCAGATGTTTGTGCCTTTCGGAAATGTGGTCTCTGCCAAAGTCTTCGTTGATAAACAGACCAATCTGAGCAAGTGCTTTGGTAAGTGTGTTGTCTTTACAGCCCTTTTGATTATATCTTAAATACGTGCTTTGTTGTGTGGTTGAAATTAGATTGTCATGTATGTATACAGTAAGCCACCTACCTGCACATGTTTTATTTTCAATACAAATTCATTAAAAAAACAACTTTATTGTGAAGTTGTGTCAGGAGAAATAGCCAACGATAATAATAACAAAGCTTGTCTTATGGCTTTCTCTGGTGGGAAAGTTATTCTGTCCTGTTGACCGAGAGGTCTATGGGGAAAAGCCTTGATTTTGCCTTTAATACATTGCCCTTGAGGTAAAGGGCAATGTCGCCCTAACCTTCGTCTGAAGCTGTATTTTAAAAAGTAGTTGAGTTTGGTGCATTTAGTTAAGATTTAAAGGGCTCAAGGTGAAATGGTGTATTATATTTCCTTTAAATGTTTGTAACACGGGTCCTCCACATTTTTTTGTTCTCAGGGTTCGTCAGCTATGACAATCCCGTGTCTGCGCAAGCTGCCATCCAGGCCATGAATGGTTTCCAGATCGGCATGAAGAGGCTGAAGGTTCAGCTGAAGCGCTCCAAGAACGACAGCAAACCCTACTGATCCTCGCCCCGGGGCCCCCCCCTCCCCAGCTCTATGCTAGCACTGCTAGGGTAAGTTCACCCTCCAGCCAAGGTCACCACAGCAGAGACTCAGTGGGGCAGGGGGAAAGGAGCCCGCCACAGGAGGGAGAAAAATTGGTTGCAATGATCTTTCTACATTTTACTGTATTTCATTCCTGCGGTTTTCTCATGTAATTTGAGTCGGATTTAATATTTTAATGTATATGATTATTTATGACTATCACTGGAGTCGGTGTTCGCTGGAGGTATTTTTGTGTCACTGTAATTAGTGGAGAGCATCAGGTGTGTTTCCATGCCATTTCGTTGCCTTCAGGTCAAGCTAGAACAGGTTGACTAAGGATCAGTTGTCGTTGACACCAGGCCACGCAGACCCCGAGCTTCAACCTGTGTTTGGCTTTTTACATTTAGTCTGTCCGTTTTTCATCCTTAATGTTGAACTCTTTTGCACTCTAGCCCCGCCCCCCCTCGCCCATCTTTCCTCTCTCCATCTGCCACCTTTCCCTCTCATTATCTAAGCCATGTTGAGCTAGGCTACCTCTCTTTTTTCTATTAACCACCTCTTCCAGTCATTCCATCCATCCATCCTCCGTCTGCCTCAGGGCGACGGGCTCTCCATGGATCTCTTTGGGTGCCAAGTATTCAGTCTGCATGTTTGAGTCTCTGCCATATGTCGTAGTGGTGTCACTTCCGTACATCCGTGTATCGTTTTTGTGTGTCGGGTCTGTGGGGGGGAGGAGGGGGGGAAATGTTTGTGTCCTTTACTGTACGTGGTGATTGGCATTGTTTTTGTTGGTTTTTGTGCCTCATGGCTAAACGATTCTTGTGCTGTGGCCCTAACTTTCTCTCCTCTTTGTCCTCTCTCTCTCTCTCTCTCTCTCTCTCTTCCTGTCGTGTTTTTGTTCCTTTTTTAGAACAAATCTCCATGCCTGTTTGCTCATCATTAGCCTAGCATGTCTTCATGATGTTGAAAGCCAAGCCAAACTCCTGGCCTCATCATCCCACCATTGTCTGTGATGTCTCTCTAAGCTCGCCTGACCAATACCTGGCCACCCACTGACCCTTGACCTTAGCTCAACCTGATTTCTCTGCATGTATATTCATTTTGTTTTTTCTTTCTGTATAGAAATGTGACAGGTGGGAGAGAGGTCAAGCAAATCAATGTGAAAACGTACCTGCGTTGAATTCATTTAAGATACCTTTTTTGTTTTTGCGAATGTTTTAAAAACCTGTGGGATTTCTTATTTTTAATTTAGCTTTTTGGTTTCTTTTTACCTCTCTCAGTAAAGTTCACTTGAAAGTTGAATACAGGGATTGGCACACAGCTGTGCTATTTGGTGCCATTAGCAATATGTTGGCTTATTTAAAAAAATAATAAAAAAATGAAATGCTTCAGACCACTTTCCAACGCTTTTGAAAGTCTGGCCAGTAAAACCCCTCTCAGTGCTCTGTGATCTCTACATTTTGCGGGCAGTGTGAAGATTTACACCAAGGCTATTTCAAAATATATTTTCACTTAATTTACAAAAATATCCAGTGTATTTACCTTTTTTTTGAACTATGATGGCACAATAAAAGGTACATTTGCTCTGTTTAGAGAAATGACTACCTACATGAGTCAACTTTTTTAGAACTGATTCACAAATAGACAATCTGTGGTTTAAATGCACACTTAGATTACCTATATTTTATACCATTGAATCTATAGAAGATTAACAGAACCCAAGCAAAACTTTGGGTTTTTTGTAGATTATGTTGTAATGTCATCTGTGTCGTGGGGGGGAGGGGGGGTCTTCAGTGTATTA